AGACGGTATCAGAATACCAACACTGATGTACGTAAATGTATACGTATACATACGCAAGTGAAACTCTCCTACTTAACTAGAGCAGTAGATAAGGAAGCTACCGTAAGGAGTACGTAAAATGAGTTATATATTTACCATATTTATTAAACAGGTCACATTCAGTTTGCACGCTCAGTTACAATATGTTTCTTTGATGAATACTTTAATAAATCATTTTTTTAACTTGCATAATGTAGAAATAAGAGTTTTAAGTTAATATAATATGTAGAATGCAAAAAATAGATCGAGCGACCTTTTACAAAAAATTTCATTTTATTTTTTAGCAAAAATTTTTTATTCAAACGTGAGAGTTGCTACAATTAACTTTTTATTTTAATTACTTTTTTCAAATCTGAATACCAATTACACTAAAAATATTGAAAATTTTACTGTCCGGTATAGTGACAAGGTAAAGTTCTAAAAGAAGTCGTTAATTCTTTTTTATCAAAAAAAAATTTTGAATGTACATCATGCAATAATCTTAAACTTACAGTTGCACTTTTTCATCATAAGCAGGAAAACTAGTTGCTTGATGTAAACTTTAAACATGTGTAAGTAACATTAAAGTTTTTGCAGCGGTTAAGGGCAGTCTGGAGATAGTCCTACCTTATTGACAAAATATACTTCGATTTTACAGATGTATAACGTTATTTATTAAACAGCTATCTATATTATCGAAAAAACATGTGTAGAATCAAGTTTTTAGTCGTCAAAGAGTAAATGAAGCCACAAACTTGGCAAGATTGATTGATAATTCAAGGCGGAATGTGACCTGATTTTTCACTTTTTTTCTTTACCCCTTAATATACCTCGCCACAATCAAACTATATTAATTCCTTGTAGATCAAAGAATGTGCGTCTTCTGTTCTTTTTTTCCAAAAATTGTATAGAGTTTACTGATGCAAATAACATCACCTAATAGAATCAGGCATAAGATATTACTTTGCATGATTGAGTTTTCTACTCTATTAGTCAACAGGTATTTTACTGATTGGGAATATTTATGCGTCAGAAAAACAGTACACGCACATTTCTAAAACTACAAAAAATAAATATTGCTCGATTTCAGTGCGATTTATTGTAATGTTCCGGATAGATCAAGCTTATATTTTTAAAGTGAAATATTTGAAAGTTTGTCTGTCATGCATGTGTAGTGAAGTAACTAAAATGTGTTCCAATGAAAATGACAAACGTTCTTACGTAAAGAAGATGTTGTTGATTTTGGTTAAAAAACGTTCAGTTTTGCCCCCAACTTCAATGAATCTGATCGACCCAGATCGCGACGGCAGAGATGCACTTCTCGAGCAGTGAAGGTCTGAGAGTGCTGGCGAGACGAAGCCTATCGTAAGGGAGGTTGAGATTTCCTTGGTGGAAAGCCGTATTAGTTGACCTCATGCGAGCAAAGTCTTCTCTTGTAGGTTTAGCACATCAGTTATTGATATTATCGAGATTTTCAAAATTGTCTGTTATTTGATCCTACTATTTCTAGTTGTCAATTTAGTATAGTTCAGAACAAACATTCGTTACAAGGTGTAGATTGCTTAGGACATGAGATAAATATGTGAATGCACATGAAGTTTGGATGCGTGTTTTTGCAGAATGAATGTGACACATTTAGTAGTAACAAAAGAGCATGTTTTTATTTTTGTATCTATGACAAATCATAATCAGAATCTTCCAGAAGTTGCTTATTACAGCTAGTAAAAAAAAATGGTCTCTTTTTTTTGAATTTCTCAAATTTAGTCTTTTGTAATCACAATCTTTCAGAACTATCTCAATTCAAATGGTTATTTCAAGAGAAGTTTTCTTTCGTTTCGATAGGGTTGGCACTTGGACAGAGAGATCGAAAGTGAGATCAATCTGTGGCTTGATTGGCAGTGATGCTCACCAAGGAGTCTCTGGTTTACGATGTATTGTAATTAGAAACACATTTTTTTTTAAAGAATTGATGGCTGTTGACATCTGAATTAAAAATTAGAAATTTTGTATTTATTTAAAAAATTGAAAAGTGTTTGCAAAGGCAGTCGTTTTAACACTCACGATTGAAAGGCGTCGTTTGTATGAGCTGTAATGTTACGAAAACTCTGAGAGTTATCGGGAGCACATCCCTTGTTGATCCTGGGGGCACGGGGTAACAAGCATATAGGCTTGTTGCAGACGGTTAGCTGTGAGGCGATTGTCTTTGCATATTTGTAGTAGTCAGAAAGCGCGCGGTGGCTCAGTCGGCTAGGTCGTCGAGTGGCACGTGGGAGACCGTGGTTCGATTCCCGGCCAGTGCGACTTTTTCGGGCAAGTACCTCTGTGATTCTCACATGTGCTTTTTCACCACGCAATGCTCCTCGAGGAGGGTTTAGGCGACCTTCTCTCAGCAAAATTGCCTAATTTCCCCCTGCCCCCTCCCAGTAATGGAAGGCCTCCCCATCCCTTATCCCTTCCTTCTCCAAAGTGCTAAGTGCCCTCAGTAGTACCCTTTATAGGAGCCGGACGTAAAGCACTATAATATATAAAAAAAAAAAGTTGTAGTAGACGAATGAAAGACTTCATCTTTGGAAATCAATTTGTTTTCTACGAATTAAATGAACCCACTCATCAATTGTAGACTGTTTATAATTTATCATGATTTTAAGTTTGAATTGTTCGACTCTATGAAACTACTCATACCCCTACCACATTTTTTAGTTTTAATGTATGGTATAAACCTAATATTTGTACGGCGGGGGGGAGGAGGATGTTCTGGATGGATCAAGCTTATATTTTTAAATTGAAATATGTGAAAGTTTGTCTGTCATGTATGTGTAGTGAAGTAAGAAAAATGTGTTCGAATAAAAATAACGATCGTTGTTATGTAAAAAAAGACGTTTATTTTGGTTAAAAAACGTTTAGTTTTGCCACCAACTTCAATGACTCTGAGTCACATTTTGTTTGGCAGAAATAAATATCCTTAAAATTTGATAATTTCCCAAAGATGTTTCTTTCTTTGCGCGAATCTGATTTTTTCAGCTATAATGAAGAAAAAAAGGGAAATATCAGATTACACCTTATGAATCCAACATCTGATGTTTCACTTTTTGTCTTGAGTTCTCATTCAATTTTGCTAAGTTTTAGCTTGATTTATTCTTTGAAGTGTCAAGAATGTGCATCTACTCTTATTTTTTGATAAAATAGGTAACTGCTGAGTAAATAATGTTATAAAGCTATACAACTAAAGTAACCTTATCGGTAAGGTAGAAAACTTAATATCTCTAGACTTTCCTTACTTGATCGATGATCAATATTTTAAGCTTAAGGCTGCGTATCCACGCTGCGGAAATTTACGCGACGGAACTCTGGCGTCAGTATATCAGCGCAAATCTACTCTTACCAACGATTATTTCTGTTCCGCACGGTGAAGGACCCCCCCTTTACATGGAGCAGAAAATTCCGCGACGGAAACTTCATACACCAATCAGAGCACAGCTTTTCCGATAGATTCTTCTAAAGCTCAACGCTGATTGGATCATGAAGTTTCCATTGCAGAATTTTCCGCTCTATGTAAACGAGGGGTCCCTTGACTTTGACGGAATTTTGCGCAGAAATATCGTCGTCTGCATATATTTTATATTTTTATATCACGCAACTGTGAACTAAAAAAGCTAAAACGAATTAAAAAATGAATTAAAATTAAAATTGCAATTGTGCATACTGAAACAAATCAAAATGTTCAAGAGATCAATGCACTCACACATTTTCACAAACTCTTTGATGCATACAATCTGAGAAATTTTGTTGAAAAGAGTCAAGTCGCTGGTTGTGTGATAGTTATAAACAATTAAATATGAAGAATACACTAGTTCAGTACTTATAGGTTATGTAAGTGATAAATTCCGTAACAGAAATTACCCCTAAGGTACCAGAAAATTTGCAGAGCAGAAAAATAATCGTTGGTAAGGGATTTGCTCTGATGTACCGACGCCAGATTCGATGTACCGACGACAGTTCCGTCGCGTAAATTTCCGCAGCGTGTATACGCAGCCTCGGGGGCTTTAACGAGCACTGGTACCAACCCTAAAATAATAGGGTCAGTTGGTATCGCTGCTGTGAGAGCACCATAATGTGTGCATGTACATATTTATACATACACAACAACTCGATCAATACTTTACGGAATATCTCGAATTTTTCCAGGGTTACCTATATTTTGTAAGGTACCGTCTAAAAGCTGAGATTTTTTTCTTTAAAACAGTTACCATCCTAATATGTAACTTGTCGATTATAGTTAGAAATTTGCGATGTTTTTACGTTGCTCCATAAGAGGTTCTGCATATATGATGTACAAACTTTGAAAGCAAATAAGTACCTCGAAATTTCCCATGATTTAGGAGGGCAACATGTCCTAAAATTGTATTTGTTGATTCTTCGAGTCTTATTTTATTATGGATCTTAACCTGGATGCAATGGCTTGATATTCAAAAAGGTGATAAGTCTCCTTTCTACACATTTCGATTCATTTTTATGTTAGCAAAATTTTAATTATACTGCGTACCTTCATACTTCCATTATTATTCGAAATCTTTTCCAACAATTATGATGGTATAGTGTAGAAAAATATCTAGTTCCAACATACAAAATAAAATATCCCAAACATTAATGCATAGGAAGCTGGTGAAGCCGCATTGGTGGGCGCTATGCTGTACATTCTTAAATTATTTAAAATGCGTAAAAGTGTTTCAAAAAGACATATTCTAATACAAATAAAAGAAAATATTTAACAAATGACTTTATAAAGAGTGGGTAAGACCGCGTCAAGAGAAAATACTATTTAATATAATACTTGATATTTCACAAGACATCAATACCGTATGGAAGCCAATGAAAAAAATTTTCCTTAGAAATAACATGAGATGTTTTGTGATTTTCATAAGAAAAAACAGTAAGCTTATATAGTACAAAATATGCTTGTACTAAAAAATCACAAATTACAGAAAATGCAGAGACAAAGACTAAGGCCACGGCATTCGCGGATGGAGAGGCTACCCCTGCACATCGGCCTCTTCCTCGTTTATGTTCTCTTCCAACTGGTAACCAGTGGCTTCTCATCGTCATCGACATTACCACCACAAGCATCTACTAATGCGGATAATGCTGGTGCCAAAGGCCCTACTGTTACACCTGCACCAGGTTTGACTTCTTCCAGACCACCAGGACAAAAAGAAGAGGTGCCTGGTGAGGTGACAACGGAATCGCCTAAAAGTGACAAGGGGAAGGGTGAGGCAACGACTACTAAGGAGGGACTGGAAAAAGCAACAGTAAGTTTACTAATACATGGAAAAAAGGAGCTATGATTAAATAAATAAAAGGTTACCGTACCAAAGCATTCTTGTGTTGTATAATCCACACCTAGGGAAAGATTTTATCATTTTTGTGAATAGTTTGAAATTGGAACAGTACTTTAATCTATATTATGAGTCAATGAATTTAAATAATACATACGTGTCAAAAATATTACTTGTTATACGAGTGTTGAAGTCATATAAAAACATATAAATTCTAATTTTTTTTTTAATTTTANTTTTTTTTTTTTTTATTGAAACAATTTTAATCTCTATTTTACAAACCTTTTTCAGTAGCAGCTACTCTACGTATTAATGAGTGTTTATTTAATTAATTTTTTTTTTATCCGAGCATTTTTCAAATAAATAATTTTTGTTCATTGAATTTTTTTTCATTTTTCAAAGTTTTCATCTTTTTTCATTATCGATTAATTATTACATTTTCATTGTGTCTTATGCTTTCAAAATTTTTTTTCATTCGTGAAAAATGTGTTTTTAAACTTACATTCCATGGTATGTAATACCATCCTATAAAGATAAAGTGGCACTACAGGAAACTAATTATTCTACATTAAAATCAAGGGTTTATAATTTTTACTTTAGTTATTACAAGCCAATCATGTCATTTTTAGAATATAATCTAAATTAATCTAATAACGAGGATGAAAGCCATACAGAGTTAACGTAAAACCGTTTTCATATATCGTGATCTTTCAATTTACAATCATTAATTATGTATATATTAGCATTATATTTGTAAAATATTTTACTAACGAAATTATCCACTTAAAAAATATAAAATTAAATAAATATTGAATAATAATACTGCTTTTTCAATATTTTCTAAGACTTCTTTTAGACAACTTTTGTGGATGTCACATACACGATTAATTAATTATGTACTTTTCTTATCTACATAATATATTCTTTATAATTTTTTATTATATACTATAAGAATATTTATTGAAACCGCACCGAATTACCGTACATATACTTTTTCCAACGATAATTCCACCATCTTCGTACACAATATCGTTTTACAGAAGGTATATTTATATTCATAGCAAGTTTTCGAGCAAGTAACTCTGTAAATTTTTACGTATGATTTTTACTGCTCAATCCTTCTCTGAAAGGGGATGAACAACCTTCTTGCAGAAAAATTGCCTATTTTCCCCCCTCCCCTCTCCTAGTAATGGGAGACCTCCCATCCCTTTCCTTGTCTCTTTTGAAAATGTCGAGTGCCCTGAGTAGCAGACCCTTTGTGTACCCAGACGTATGACTCTTTAATATACATAAAAAAACGTTTCATTCATAATTATATTGTCTGCAATAGAATGTCATAGAAGTATAACTTTAGACTTGTTTACTTATGTAACAATATAATTATAAGTTTATTAGTATTCTCTTCAACTTTAGAAATCAGAATGAAACTTACGTATAGCCTTATTGATAAAAAATTTGTCACTTTCATTACTAAAACAAATTTGAAAAGTTTGATAAAATATTTAGTAAATTTTTAAAGCATATTAAAAATTAAATCTTTTTGTATATTAAATAAAAGACGAACAATACTAAACAAAGGCTTCGAATTGAAACAGTATTGTACTTGATTCAAACTACTTGTAGTTATTTCATAAGCTCCCCGAGGCCATAGAACCCCACACAACATAAGTATCGAAATTCAATCAATGTTTTATTGTTGCTTGAGCGTTCGCAATAAAGAAACAATCGTTGAAAAGATCTGTACTTGGCATACTTGTAAAAATCATGACCTGAACATTAAAAATAAGGCTTTTGAATTAACGAAAATATTTTTATCAGTAAATCAGAGGACGCGTTGGGTCCATACATTGACAATGGTTACAAACAAAAAAATAAGTAGAAATCATAAAAAATAAACATTTTTATAAGATTATGTATGTTAGGTTCCAATTTTATAGATTTCTTTGTAGTTTTACTATTAAATACTAAATCAGAAAGAATATTTGAGAAATTATTCACACATGTTTGCATTATTCTTCATGAAACATTAGGTTTAAGAAAAAAAAACAAGTTCACCCACTTTGAGACTAGAAGATTTTAGGGGTTAACGCCCTATAACCGGTACGTTTTCCGTTAGTCGTATACCTTTCTATGTTATATGGTGATTCCAGTCAGTTTGACAATAAATCAAACCTTCTCAATCCCTAATACCACTCTACAATCTAGTATATACATCATCCAGAAAAATCCACAACACGTCTTGAAAATCAGATATCTAATATTTCGACATCTTGGTTACTCATCCCATCTAAGACGGTCTATATTTTCTTAAATAATTATAACTAACATTTCTCCTACTTTGTGGGTGACTCAAGGAGATTTTGGGATATTTGCTGATCCGTTGGTATAAAAACAAGTATTTACTACATGAAAGTATTCTCATTGAGACTTTCTAAGATTGTCCTGGAGATGTTACTATATCTGAATCTATGTAAATTTATTTTAGAGAAGTGAATGTTTTATACATCAACTCTTATTTTACAGAATTAAATTATCAATAACCATCTTCTAAATTTTGCAAAAAATTGTTTATAGGTCCAACCCATTGATTCAACAACACCAAAGTTCGAGGAGCACCCAACATTACGTCCCTTACGAGAGAACTGTTCACCCCCAGCTATAGAACAGTTTCCCAATCCTTTGATAGGTCCATCAGCCAGGCGACACGGTGCCATTATAATTCACGTACTTCTAGCTGTTTATACATTTCTCGGACTTGCCATAGTCTGTGATGACTACTTTGTAGCTAGCCTTGACCGGATATGTGAAGGTGAGTGGGAAAAAATTACCAACCAGGATAAATAAAATTTTTTAACCTTAACTGTATTCTCTAATGTTGATTTCAGAACTAAAATTATCCCCTGACGTAGCTGGCGCTACTTTCATGGCTGCTGGTTCTTCAGCTCCAGAATTAGCAACCGTAATAATAGGCGTATTTTTTGCGAAGGACGACATTGGGGTGAGTGGTGTAATTGGCAGCGCAGTCTTCAACATAATGTTTGTAATATCTGTGTGTGGTCTCTGCACTACGACTGTGTCCAAGCTCAATTGGTGGCCACTGTGTCGCGATAGTTTTTTTTATTTTATATCCATTCTTGTTATGCTTTTTACAATTTCCAACAAATATGTTACTTGGTAAGTGTCAAATCATCAAACTTGATCTATATTTATTTATAAATTAGAATTAACTGTAGAAAATTGTTGTTCTTTCAGGGGCGAGGCACTGTTCATGCTGATAATGTATGTAGTATATTGTGTGGCTTTAACTTTCAACTCAACCTTAGAACAAATGGCCAAGGTTTACACCAAGGACATTACTTGGCTACCCAAGTACGAAGAACAACCAGCTGAACAGAGTGCCCTTGTGACCTACAAGAATTTGCAGGAGGAACGTCAAGGCTACACAGATCCCAATACAACAGCAGTTGACAATCTCAATCCAAACGAGGGCTACTCTGAACGTAACGATGCCGGTTATAATAACTGGCAAGATCCAACCATGGCTGCTGCGAACCAATGGGATCCCAACGCTGCCTGGGGTCAAGGCCAGACTGAACAGTGGGATCCCAATTCAGCATGGAGTCAGCAGCAACAACAACAAGATCATTACGGTCAGGATTCGTACAGTCAACAGCAGCAGCATCCAGAACAGCAGCAAATCCAACAACAAGAGCAAACAGTACAAGAACAGCAACCAGTTGGCCCTCCAGCACCAAAATACTATAAGGCCAAAGAGCCCGATCCAAACGAGGTCTCACCTCTCGTGAAGCCAATTGATGGTGGCACTTGGGGCATCTTTACCTGGGGTTTGGTTTATCCCATTCACTATATGTGCCTGAAAACTATGCCTGACTGCCGACAACAGCAGTACCGCAACTGGTATCCGTTCACTTTTTGCATCTCAATGATCTGGATAAGTTTCTACAGCTACATTATGGTTTGGATGATCACCATTATTGGTAAGATTGCCGATTTCTAACCTACAATAGTAAAAAAACGTCGTTAATCACTACATGCACGTATTTTTCAATATAATAATTTCCATAGGCAGCACACTAGGTATCCCTGATACAGTAATGGGCTTGACCTTTGTGGCTGCTGGAGTAAGTGTACCTGATGCATTGTCGTCATTAGCCGTAATCAAGGATGGTTTAGGCGATATGGCCGTGAGCAATGCTGTCGGCAGCAATGTCTTCGATATTCTTGTCTGTCTTGGGCTTCCATGGTTCATCCAAACCGCTATAATTCAGCCAGGCTCGCATGTCAATGTTACAAGTAGAGGTATGGAACTGTTAATTATTGAAACATACAAACAAACAAAAATTCCATGCGAAAATTAAATTAGTAAATAGTTAACGATGAGTAATAAAAACTTATATAAAGAAATAAGGAAGTCTAGATATGAGACTGGAAAGAGAATTTAAGAACTTTTATTATTAGTTATTATTAGTTCTTTTTTTTTAATAAAACCTATTATAAATCATAGTTAGCTAAAACTTATTGTTAATCGTATGTATTATATTTAATAAGTTATTCAAAATTTTTCACTGATAAACATTCCAACAAATTATAACTAATTTAAAAAATATACATGTATGTTTATGTAAGATAAAAATTATTATAGTCTTATTTGTTGTTACTGGTTTTTTATTTTTATTCGTTATTTTTTTTTTTACAAGCAAATAAATGAATGAGATAACTTTCGCTTGGGCTCAATACTTTTACATCTGTAAAAAATATTAATTTTCTCAAAATCCTCCGCAGGTCTGACGTACTCCACAATCTCGCTATTGTCGACGGTGGTGTTTCTTGTTGTGGCAACACACTTTAATGGCTGGAAGCTAGACCGACGCTACGGAGTGGTACTGATGGTTTGGTATCTGCTCTTCATAGCCTTTGCTTCGCTTTATGAGCTGAATGTATTTGGTGTAATGAATCCACCAACCTGCCCGAGTAATTATTAATTCAGCCACGACACGGTAAAAAGTTGTCCTAGCCACATGCGTACGAGTACTATTTGTGTTTTTGTCCTGTTTACTCATTAAAATTATCACTGTGTGTTTATTTCGCAAATGTCCCACCGTTAATCAAGAAAAAAAAGTTTAACGCTATAAAATAGTTAGTTACTCGAGTTTTTTTTTTGCTTAAAGCCAAAGTTATAAGAATAGAACAAGTATAAGGAAAAGTAGAAGTAAATTTAAATTAAAACTACAATGTTAATTATCGAGTCTATTATTCAGAAAACTTAAAGAGTCAATATCTAAATAGAACGTTGAATAAACACGTTAAGTAATCGTTAGTCAACAGAAATAAAAGAGTTAAATATTAAAATGTATGGCTGGGACCATAAAGTAGGAAAAACAATGTTTAGAGATTATGTTAAGAATTGAAGTATAATAAATTGGAAGCAACAACAAAAATTTATAACCAGTAAGAGAAAGCCAAAGATTACTGAAAAACATTTAACAGTATTAAAAACCGATTAAGTAATTATTTAATGATTTGCAACTTTATTTTATTTATTTGTTTACATACTTTGTGAGCCATAAACTTACTGTTTCTTTTTATGTGAGCTTAATCATAATTATAAGAAAATCTTCTTCTAAAATGTGTTTTACTTTTTTGGCTTATTTGCGCATAGCTTTCTTTTTTTCATGATAAAAAAAGTAAATTGGCGATTTGGAAAAACAAATGTATACTTTATTTACGGCAATAATTAGTAGTACTTCTTTAATTTGGAAAGTTTTTCATAGGATTTACTGTATAATTTTTGTGCTTGAAAAAAAACTTAAACTTCAAACTTTCAAGAATATTGTGTGGCAGTAACTTAGATTAAAAAAAAAATATTTACTAAACATTACAACAGAAAATTATCCCAAAAGAGTGTAACGACGAGTAACTTAACGCTATTTATATATTTATAAAAATTGTTAGTCGATTTATAAATATCAAGAATATAAGAGTGAAGGTACAACCACCTGACCATAATGTTCTTGAATTTAATTATGTTTTAAAATGTTGAATTGGTGAATACTATTTATAAAAAAGACTTTATTCCACTAAAATAAGCGTATTGACAAAAATAAAATAACATCGAAGATTGTGAAAAGATTCATGCCTATATAAGCCATTCATTTAAATAAGTAGATACATTGAAAAACTAAAAGACAAAATTGAAAAAATGTTATTATCTGTATAAATGTGATTCTAGCACTGTGTGTGGGTGTACTTTTGACTTGAAATTTGCGATTTTATTCTAACATATTGTTTATTATTGCGTTTAGGCATAGTAAGGTAATAAATAGGTGTACAAATGAAATAAAATATATAACTCAGACAAAAAAACATGTGCTCGAATGTATACAAATAAAATGCTTACAGTTTAAATGTCAACAAAAAACGTACAGTAGTAGAAATTTAAAAAAAAGATAGCTCTTATACAGGAAAAGACTTGTTATAATGAAGATAAAATTTTGAAAAAGTTTCGAAGAATTACAGTAGTTAGACTCATCATAAACTGATAATCAATTTTTATATTTACATCAATAAATGAATAGAACAAAGAGTTGTAAGGTGCAACGATTTTTTGGTATAATAATAGTAAGATTAGGACATTGGGGTTTGCTAAAAAAAACCTGACAACATGTTTTTACTTTAATTGTGTTTATGCACATCGTTAAAAAAATAAAAGTGAGTTAGATCTGAATTGTAATAAATCGGCACAATGGTTTTTAACTATAACAACGTGGCTCTGTATTGATAAATCATATTTAGCTAAGACTTGTATAAAAGAAAAGTATCTGAAATAGTAATTTAACCTGCTAATGTGTTATGTAAATTATAAAAAGATTTTTGAAACACTGCTAATAAATACAAAATTCAGAGTAAAATATTCGAAAGGCAATATGAAAGAGACGTACAACAGATGGCGTAACGAAAAATAAATATAGAAACGAACGAATTTCAAAGGCTATAAAAAATATCTGCGATACTGCGACTGCAGTTTTCAAGGGTATTTGATTAAATAAAAGTGAAAAAAGGGTGAGAGACAATAATTGAAACAGCCTTAATCGATGAAAGTATCAATAAAAAAGTTTTGCGCGTTCCTTGAGATCTCACAAAAATATAAACATCATTTGTTAGTTTTCTTTAAGGAATATGATCACAACTACGTCATGGACATTGAGTAATTAAATATTTATTTACTTAGATACTCCAAAAATATAATTTTAACTCAAATAGTTTTTTTTTATACATTCTAAAAAAGTGAAGTGTCGAGAACCATGCTTTAAAATTTTGAAGTACTTTTTTAATAGTTGGGTCAAGTTTAATTACAAATAATTATCTTAAAATGTACTTTTTTTGTTTAAAAAACTCTTTTTATTTCTCTATTATGATACTTACTTTTTCTTGACGTCGAAATATTGACGCGTATACAATTTTGTGGGACTAACTATTTTTCTATAAGAACTTTCGTAATGCATTAGTTTGTCTGTTAAGTAAATGGCACATGAGATCGTGTTAATCGAAAGGATCGCGCATTTATACGAAGAAAAAGATATCGGATTTTCGGAGTATATCATATTGAATTTTTATTGAAGGTTAATTCTCATTAACACCTGATGTCATATTTAAAAAAAAGTTTAAGTATGTTCGAATAAATATTTTTTTGTAATACACTTACTATGCAAGTGAAATATCTAATGTATTGTAATTAACAAAAAAAGCCTTTAGTTAATTATACTTCGTCTTCGTTCCATTTTTGTGCAAATTGATTATTTATTGGTTTTTTGATTTAAGTCCATCCTACGAGACTACCTCAGTCATCTCGGACATGAACATAATGAATTTCAGATTGTGCGAAATCTAGCTTGAATAACATACACATGAAATAATTGAAAAAATCAGTTAACGTAGATTTACACTTGAAAAATAGATATAAAATATATCGTTCAAAAATCACCAATTTCGCTTCCTCTTTGCCAACCTGTAATCTGATACACACACTTCCCATGTTACTATAGTAGTTAATAAACAATACTGTGTTACTTACTTCACAAAAGTATACATCATTTGCGAACCATATAGACTTTAAGCTACAAATAAATGCTATAGTTGTATATTAAAAAACTAAAAATACTCTATGCACACATTTGTAGATACAAAAGTAATTTTTGTTGCTGTAAGTCATCTTTTCCTAAAACTCATGCTTGAATTACAAACAAGATTTATTCTACTATTTAAAAAGATTGCTCGTGTCATAATCAAAACAGGCACTTGACTTAAAATAATATTTGATCACTTTTCGACAAATTTTTTTCAAGAACTATGCAGTATTTTTTGTGCCATTTAAAAAATTTTTGTTTTCTCGTTAAAACGTACAACATGAAGTCGTGGCTTTTTTTTTCCCTGCAGTGATATTTGTTGAGAGTATACTTAAAAAATAAACGTATATTTGGAATAGAATTTCCAAAATTTGTTACTCATAATTTTTCAACAACTAAACTGATCAAATTCAAACAGTTAATGTATGACCAAAATTTGTATACTATACAATTACCTCCCAAATTTATAATTTACAATCAGATCAAGATGAAAAAAGTCATGGTCACAAATCAATTCAGCTTCCTTCAGTAAGAGTTGCCAACTCCATATATTAACTATGAAACTGGTATCCATACAAAAATTAAGGGCTTCAAAAGAACCTACAACAAATCATAAATTTTCAGAATACAAAGCGTTCCTTTTCTAGTTTTCCGCGATTGATTTCTTGATCCACTATTAACGATTCGTAGCGTGTACATTAAAATTTTTTGGATGTGACTAATATAACGCTTTCTAAATTCAAAACACTACTGCTGAATTTTATATCACACTTATAGAGGAAGATAGAGTAATTGTATCCATAGTTTTTTTTAATTCATATCAATAATTTATTTTGTTGCTTGTATTAATTAAAATCAATAACTGAAATTCTTAAATGTAAAAAAAAAAACTGAAAAAAGATATAAAAAGGGATGATGTTATTGCATTATCATACATATGTATTTTTTTTTTTTTTTTTAATGTTATAAAAGAGTCACATGCCGATATCATAAAAATAGCCACATGTTTATTTAAAAACAAAATGTAAAAAAAAAAGTAATAAAAATATCTAAAATGTCTTCAGTTAAATACATGTATACATAAAACAAATGATAAAAATATATAAATGTATATAATATATACTTATAACACATGTAATAAACATCTCGTATTGATGTATACCCTATTACACCCATTAAACAAACATGTTATACACGAATAGCAGCTTATTTTGTTTTACATGTATTATGATGTCACGTATGATGCTACCATAATTTTTTACTATAAAAATCATAACATGACTTTTTCTCTCTTACTATCTGCTTTCAATTTAATTTGGTACTTACCCATTCAAATCGCTTAAAAAAAGTAAAAAGAAACTAAGGCACAAGCCACTTGACCAGAGAAATGGGTGAGTCGATCATTATATACAATAAATTAATGAATATATAAATGTTATCTGGGTGTATAGTTCTATTAATAATCCCTGAATTAAAATCTTAAAAATTCGCGTTAACCAATTTTCTGTATTTCCGTTGACTACATAACTGTAATATAGTCAGCATAATTAATCAGACCGATTCATGTCAATCTAATTGTAAAGTCAATATTATCGCATATTATCTTGAAACTCAATCGTTGTACATATATATACCATAATATAGGATTTACTGACTATTTTTCTCTTTTTTTATGTATCGTCAATGGATTTGAAGGTGTGAATATATATTATTGACTGCAACTACACACATCTCGAGTGGAACCGTCATCGACTTTCGTGTACTAAATTTGCTAGTGTAAAAGTATTGTGTCTTATGAAAACGGCGAGATTTTTTACTGTCGTCAATTACCCATTCTAATATATGGTTGAGAATCAGTATTCTTAGTTAGTTATGCTAGTGACGGAAAAATTTTGTGATCTTAAAAACAATACCCATTCATGCGTTACTTTAAGATCGTCCGATTTTGGTCCCTACATTAATACTTACATAAATGATTAAAAATACTAATTCTTAATAGAGGTTTGGAGTTAATAGTTTACAGCGATTTCAGTGTCACTGTTTTCATACGGCATCTTGTACTAAATTTGCCAACATAAAGCTTTCCGTTAGCTAATTTATTACATGATTACAGCACTGGCGGTGCCACTCAAGATATGCTTGTAATATCGAATATACATACGACGCGAGGAAAGGTCGTTCCCGCCTAGTCAATTTTCAAAGTCATTTATACTTATTATATATTATTTTTTAGTGAAATATCCAGTATGATAAAACAATATCAGAAACAATTTAAAGTGTGTACATTCCAACAAAAATTGTTCAATTTTTTAAAAATTTACAGTTGACTTTAGACTATTAAAAAAAATTATTAAATTTGTTATTGAGTGAAAAATAACACTGGTTTATAATGTTGAACGTCTTTATACTAAAGTAAATAATGTAAGATTCACGCATGAAAAACCAATAAATAGATATATTTTTGCGAAACATCGAATGTTAGTGTATTAAAAAAAAAATCTCATCACAGCTTCCAAATCAAACTTTTCTTGATTGAAATACGCACTGTTAACAGAAAACTTTTTTTAAATTAAAAATAACAGTGTAAATGAAAAATGACCACTAGAAGGAGGAAGGGATGCGATGAGCTTGCCTTCGTAGTTGAGAATAAAGTGTAACCGACCTTATTTCACCAAAAAACAATCGCTTGCAAATTACTCTGAATGTATCATACACGTCAGTATGTTTTTACAACTGATACCAATCAAATCGAAAATAAACTTAAAACTCAATTTTAGTAGTTGAACGGTCGTTGGCTCGATGGTAAACCTTTAATCTAACATTGATCTTGGAGTCGTGGTTTTGATTCTGCATTACAAAATTTATGTAGTTTTCACTATTGCTGTGTATACATTTTCTACGTCTTCTATTTTATTTTATTGGAAATGTATTTCATGTTTGTACGTGAATTTGTGTTAGTACTAAAAATAGCTAACTTTTCAATGTTTTGAATTGTATACGAAAAATATATTTAGTGTGTGACAAGACTATTAAAGACAGGAGTCAGAAAGAAAAAGAGTAAACCTTAGATTACCAAGACTGGAAAGAAACTTTGATAGTCGATTGCATTTTCTCAAAGCTTACAAAGTGAAACATTTAATTGTATTTCATAATTAGGTATAGTCTTACATTTTCTCATTCTCGAATAAGTGCGAAATTTCTCATAGTAAATGTTCATTCATAGAACAAGCGCAAACTTTGTCACTGCAAATATGCGAATAATCACAGCGAGTAAATACTGAATGTAATCGTTTGAATATTATCATTTGTTATTTTTACTAGTTTTGGAATAATACTCTAATGGATGAGTGATATATAAAAGAGAAAAATCAATTATTTCCTAGCGCGTCAATATATTTGTAATTGTAGCTTCAAAAATATATGTAAATAATCTTTGTAATACTATAAGATTATATTACGTTGTGCAAAAGAAGACAAATTATGTATATACATATTTATATTTGTTTGAAAATGCAAGAAATATAAATATTGACAAAAGGAAATAAAAAAGATAATTATCTTACATGTGACAAGAAACAGATTCACATAAAAAAATGTGTAGGTATGAAAACTTGAAAAAATCGACAGCATAATAAAATAAAAAGGAAACAAAGTACTTACGTGTTATTACGTATCCAAATTAAATTATACGCATTAAAAATACTGTTAATTTTTTGAAATACTAATCAAAAATTAAATAAAAAAAGCTAAGCCACAATAACGAAACAAGAAAAAATTTAACAAGTGCATTTCATCTGCTAATATTCGCTCCGAGAATGACTGCAGCATCATTGACTTGTGGTCAAAACTGGCATTTTGAAGGATGCACACGTTAACATTTTTGTATGATAGTGAATAAAAATAAGTACAATTTATAAAAATTTCCAAAAAATAACAATATTTGGATTTTCAACTTTATTATACTGTTTAAGGTAGTGAGTATATACTTTAAATATTTAATGTATAAAATTATAGAACTTCAAGTCAGAAATTTGCACAGAAATATTCTAGAACTCCAATTAACTGACTGCCGTGCATGTTCGTCTGCCATAGTACGTATTCGCTCCGAGAATAAAATTGGAGAAGAGAACGGTGCCACTAAGCATTTTAACATGTAGTCTAATAAAAATGTACCTTTTAGGGAAACCTGCCACCGAACTAATTCTTTCTCCATAAGAATTTACATCATCATCATCATAGGGTACCGTTAAATAAAGGTGCTATGGTCATTCTCGGAGTTAATAATGCGTGCAGATCAGACAAGGTAACTGCTTCGGTACTTATATTCCTACCGTGAGAGATTGAAAGTGACATTACTTAAAAGCCTTTTTATTCTTTATGTGATTGAAAAACACATGGTTCATAGCGACCTAAAAACTATACAGTTCAAATGTTAATTTCAAAATAATGGTAAGCAAAGCTTTGTGTTACTAACTATCAACCACAAGTGATTATATAAATAATGTTATAACATTGATTGCGTGAAATGCGTTTGAATAACTTGTATCTATAAATTAATTATTGCTGACAAAATCTCGTTATAAGACCCACTATTATTGATAAATTTTAACCTTTATAATTACGGCAAAACTGTTGCCCATATAATTTTTCAAGTACTCGGTGAAAACAATATTTGACGTTCATTTTGGTTCAGTGACGCACCTTTAGATCGCACCCTTTCTCCACCATCAGGGCTAGCATGGATTTTTTTATCTTTTTAACTTCATTCTCGGACCGAATAGCAAGCATACGTATGATGTCACGTAGTAATAAATTGTTAAATACATTATAAAAGTTTAATTCTGGGAAAATTGTTAGACTATGTCTAACCTTAATAGTAATTATGAAAGTGCAAAAAAATCATGTAAATGACATATGAGAGCTTTGGCAACTTGATTTGACGATGGTTTAAAAATATGTTGTGTTCAAAAATGAATAAAAAAATTAATTTTCATTATTATTTTAACTCTATAACATGTATATGACAACTTTCTCAAACGATGTTATTTGTTAATATACGAAAAATAAAAGTTAAGAAATAATAAGACGTTATAAAGATAAGTAACGAAGAATGTTTGAATATATATTATACACACGCATAGTTAGAACGTGTACTTACACAAGACGTAGAGAGTTGAGATGAGGAACAAAAAATTGATCTTCATAGAAATCAGCAGAAAAGGGAAGGAGGACAGTAGGTGTTGTGTATAACTAAGATGTATATCTAAACTGTTTAACAACAAATAAAAATTATTACGAGATAAGACGTTATTTTACTGTTTGAAACCCTTCTTTAACTATTTTATTGCATATACATAAAAATATCAGTTAATTTACTCATTAAATTTTTTTCAGAGCTTGTGATTCTTGATTCTTTTCTGTATGCTTAACCAAAAATTTTATCCCCAAAACCCTTATCTTATAACTCACCTTTGTTTCCAATACATTCTTCACCAAAACCTTTAATTTTTCACTAATCACGCAATTAATTTCTATTTTTTTAACAATTTTTTCGACTCATAGACTGCAAAAGATTACTCTGTACTGTTATTTCAACGTTATGAGTTACTTGATGTTAAGACAAACAGTAAATGTTCTCGTACTTTTTCTACATTTCATATAAATACTTAACCCGAAAAAAAAACATTTTCTTATTTTTGTTTCAAATTAATAGTAGCATACAACGTATGTATATCATTTGAAAGCAACAACATTTCCTGGTTGTTATAAAAATACTACTATCCCGTAAATGTTGTAAAATAAATTGGAAAAAAAAAAGAATAACTTTTTTAACTTTCATCAAAGGCCGCGTGTAATTTGCGCTGCATGTATAGGTTAATTTTCAAACTTCATGGGGCACAGTTCAAAGCTTTGTTTTTATAGAGCACATTAAGGGGATTAAGGCTAAAAACATTTTTTTTTTTTTTTTTTTTTTTTTTTTTTTTTTTTTTTTTTTAAGTAACAAACCCCGTGACCAATGGTCGATTTTTTAACACTT